TTGTTTCCTTCAACAGTTTGTATTTTCTTGACTTTCTTTAAGGGATTTATTTATTTCCTTCTTTTGTTTGTGTTTTCCTGGGTTTCTTTAAGGGGCTTATTTTTTTTTTTGACCTCTGTACTTACTTTACAACCACAACAATGAAAATTGTGCACAATTTTTGTGAAAGAATAAAGCAAAAATGCCAAGAATATAAGCCCAAAAATATTGTCAAGATTTCATCAAGATAACTAAGGAAACTCAACTAAGAAAAATGTGAGGTAGACCAATGTTACCCATGATTGTATACATATAGAAATTAAATAAACACAAATGTCACAACTCCCACAAAAATAACTCCGCTACACTGTTCAAATTACCTGCTAGGTACTAGTGATCTTTTTTCCAAACAGAGTCCCCATGCTCTAGACCTCTCTCTGTAAATGGAGGTCCCCAGTAAGGTGGGCTATGGTGCTATAGTCCCTCATGCCCCCTAGTGATTGCAGTTAAACTGAGTCCCACTGATGCCCATAAACAAAACAACTTTGAATAGTAATTTTATGTCTATTTCCTGCCATATCTATTACAGCACAGGATGTGAAATCTGCCCCATGTAACTACATAACACCATGAACATTTGAGACACCTCTGCAGCTCCAAAACTCCTCTTAACCCTGAAATTGAGTTCTTTAAGGGGTTTATTAATTTACTCTTTAAGGACCTTTATTGTCTTAGTATAGTTAGTTTTAAAGTCTTTTCCTTGTGCTTCAGATATGTTGGAAAGTTGAGGGCCTACTCTGGTAGCATGGCTGGGTTCTAGTGGGGCCACCTTTCTCTGGCAGTTATGATCTTACACTGGTCATCTGGATTTGGGATGATTATAAATCTAATTTCTGGGTTTGTCTTTGTTGGGTAGGTGTTTTGTTTCTTGGTTTCTGTTTTCTCTCTGGATTTTCAGAGAATGTGATGGTTGTGTTTCCTATTTTACTGTCCTGCTCAGCTGGGTGATGTTTGAGGTTGGGATACAGAGATGAGTGTGGAAAAGGATGTTAGGAGGGGATGGTCTGTGGGATCTGCAGGAGATGTAGTGGGGAAGGGGTTGCAGCTTGTGATCTGTTGCATCCCTAGTTAGAGACTGGGGCAGCCCTAGTTAGAGAACGAGGTCTGGGGGGAAAAAGAGGGGAGGGGTCTGTAGGCAGCCTACCTGGTTTTCCTGGCAGGTGTGGCTTGTTTTTGAGCAGGAAGAGCCTGCTTGAGTTGGGAGCTGGGATAAAGGGACAAGCAGGGGCAGAGATTTTAGGAGGGGATGGTTCTTGGGATCCACAGGAGATGTGTACAGAGGGCAAGGGAGGTTGCATCTCGTGGGCTGTTGCAGTGCTAGCAACAGGGGATTGAATCTGGGGGAACAAAGAGCAAAGAGAGTCTACAGGCAGCCTCATGAACAGTTTGGGGTCTTTTTGTAAAATGTAGACTACACTCTTGCTGGAGTTCTCTAATAAGAGACTCTAAATAATAATTTGTTTTGTGCAAATAAAGTAAAGTGTAAGATCTAGTAAATCATTAACTTCTACACAGTCATTCTGAAAAATCAACCCTCACAGATTAAAAAATGGTTTGAAAACAAAATGACAAACAATATGCAAAAATAATTTGCTTTTATATGTATTTTACTGATATCATTCTATGATATTAATTTTTCCATGACTAGTCAGTAGTCATTTGAGGAGCAGTGTCACTGTCTATTTCAGGTGGTTTTATCTTCCACAGATACGGAATAATCAGAAAACATCAAATTTTTAGTGAAATATTCTACAAGTGAGAAAATATTTTTCCTCCTTTTGAAATGCCATTAAGTATTTTAAAAATTATAACTGATTAATGTGGATGGGAGGGGATGTGGGAGAAGATAGGAGGAGTAGGGGAAGAAAAATCTATTTGCAATAAGAGGAAAAATACATAACTGATTAAACAGACAATTAAAAATTACTCAGTTGCCGGACATTTCTAATGCCTTTTTAACTATAAATTTAGGGACAAGATGTGCTCTGTTCTCTTTTTCACAGTTATAAGGAAAACCTTTGCTCAAACCAAAAACCATTTTCTAGGCCACTAAGCTGCATGTCAGCAGTCATTGCTGAAAACACCCCTAGGTTTTCTGCAAACACCTCTATGTGCACATCACAGACATTTGCCTTCTTCTGGATCCCATTCTCACCATGTGGCTTGACCTTGTGATACTGTGGAAGTGACAAACCTGAGGTAATGTGAAATCTCCCAGATGCCCTCCTTTCTGCTCATTTCATTCCTATAATTATGTGTTTGAGCTCACTCACCTGTTTTACATCTCAGGGCAAACTGTCATTGCCTATCAGGGTGATGTTTTTAGTCTGAACTCCATCAGTCCTTCCATCACTTCCCGAGGGATCTATCTAGCTTAAGTACAAATCATGCCTCTACTTAAGATCCTTCACTTGTTCCCCTCTGGCCTTAGAACAAGGCCCACACTTTGTGTGTCTAAAGCTTTCCCATAACTTTCCTACTTGGTGCTAATATTAAATAATGAAATGTATGTGCGTTGGGGGGAATTTGTCTGCAATTTGAAGGCTTATAGGAGTTTCTGACAGCAAAGGGAATCACTCTGCTATTACAGGACTTGCATTGTGTGTTGTGGACCAGCTTATTAAGTGTCGGAGTGGGAATGACAAATGGTCAATAGAGCCCGAAGCACTTATAAAAATCAATAACTTTGATGGCTATAAGATATTTCAGGACATTAGCATCTGATATAAACTACATTGAAAAGAAAACATTATTTAATGGAAGCTTTAGGCTCAATTTGGAGTCTTTGTAATGTGAGGCAAGAAGCTGATGGCTGACCTTGACATAAAGTCTAAGAGCAGACACATAAAGCTGAAGCAGAGATGAGAAAGTATATAATATATACACACACAAAACAGGTTATTTACTTTGCATCCCAGATGTAGCCCCCTCCCTCATTTCCTTGCAATCCCATCCTGCCTCCTTCATCTCCCTGTTCCTCTCTAAGTCTACTGATAGGGGAGGTCCTCCTCCCCTTCCATCTGACCTTAGTTTATCAGGCCTCATCAGGACTGGCTGCAATGTCCTCCTCTGTGGCCTAGCAAGGCTGCTCCTCCCTCGCCAGGTGGGGGGAGGTCAAAGAGCTGATGGGAATGTAAACTTGTACAACCACTTTGGAAATCAATCTGACGCTTTCTCAGAAAATTAGGAATAGTGCTTCCTCAAGATCCAGCTATATCACTCCTAGGCATATATCCAAAAGATGCTCAAGTAAACAATAAGGACATTTGCTCAACCATCTTCATAGCAGCCTTATTCCTAATAGCCAGAACCTGTAAACAACCCAGATGTCCCTCAACAGAGGAGTGGATACAGAAACTGTGGTACATTTACACACTGGAATACTACTCAGCAATTAAAAACAGAGATGAGAAAGTTAACACGTGAGAATTCGATTAACTCAGTGAAGTTTATCATTCTTCCTTAGGCCTCTCTTGAGCCTGAAGGATCCTTGTTAACATTCTAAACAGAGGTTCTGTTCCCTAAGTCCTTCCTGAAACCCCAAAGCCTCCCCCATAGACTCCCTTTCTAATCCCACAACAGGTATATATATTAAACACATGCTTGTACCTTTTCTCGGGAGACAGATGGTAGGATGCTCGCTAGAACACTATTCTTACTAGCAAGGTATTGCCACAATTTAAACTGAGACCAACAAATACATAGAGTTTTAAACGAACAAACATACATTCAGTGTAACACTACAATTCACGAAAAAGTAATAAAATCTACATAGAGGAACAAAATTAAATTGAAAATATTGACAAAAGAGTTCAAACGAATAATTTTAATAGCTATATATATTTTTCAACCATAAAAGTATTATTTTTAAGCATCTATGTTATGAAAGTATAAACGAGATTGTGCTGTATGTGTGTACACATAGCCATGCACGTATGCATGTATGCTGTCGGCAGAATAATGATTGCTTTTGAGGGAGGAAGAGGAGCTGGAAAGATATCCCGCTAGTTAAGAGCGCACTCTAAGTACTGCTCTTGCAGAGGGCTGGGATTCATCACCAACTCCAGCTCCAGAAAAATGAGGCACCTGAATTTCATGTTCACATACACATCATTAAAAGTAACAAAATAAATATGTTTTTTTTAAAAAGAGAAGCAAAAAGGAGAGTAGATAATGAGATTAGATTGAGAGTTTAGATTGAGAGCTTAATTTTACGTGAAACACTTTGGTTCTAAGTAAATTTTACAGAATACATTTGTTAAAGTATGACTTCAAATGCCCTGATGTTTGTTATATTACATTCTTTTCAATAAGTTTAAACATTTCCTATTAATTTTTGCTTGAATAATTTTAATATTAACTGCGGAGGAATATTAAAACATTTCTGTGCTATCTGACAAGACTATTTCAATCTGGAGCTGCTTTCTCTTCAGTGAAGCTGTCTTTACCGTCAGTTATTATTCTCGCTGTGGTCTGTCATCTTGACTCCAAACTTGATAGTTTTCTCTTGGTCCAGACCGTCAGATTTTAGAAGCAGCTTCAGTCTGAGGCAAGGTCACTTTCCGCAGTTCAGTTCTCTGAAAAATTCCACCGTCCCCTGAAAATCACAGGCAAGATGTGAAGTAGCCACATACTCGAATTTTTGGCCAATTACGTGAAGCTCTCAACAGGAAGCTCTCACTGAGAAGGGTAGCCTTGGGTGAGTATATGAAATTTAGACGAGGGCAATATGAAGGAAGGTGAGGTCTGATCACCAAAATCAGCACAATAATGACTATTGAACACTAGAATTCAATTCCCAGATGTTCTAAAGAGATGGAGTGACAGTATTCACTCTGAATACCACATTACAAAAGAACATTTTTAAAAAATTAGAAGTATTGGGGGAAAGGAAAAATTACGAATATCTAAACTGCTGAATGATTCCCCGTTTGTTCTTGATAAACTTCAATCATATCTTCCTAAACTGTTGAATGATGCAGCCCACCCCCAGTTTGTTCCTGATAAACTTCAATCACGTCTTCCTCCTCCATCCCCAGTTCTCCTGGAGTGTGGTTATCAGCAATCCTCTGGCCTTCAAAGAGAAACTTCAGTAAATTCACTGAGATACCCTGTCTTTGACTATATGATTCTTTGAGTTTTTTGAGCTGTGTTGTCATTTTCACTTTGAAGTGTATCTCACTTTTACCTTGTCCAATAACTCTGACTTTAATAACTTCTTTCTTATCCTCTAAGGCCGCACATGAACAGTTTGCCTCTTGGTCAGATATGTCCATGATGGCTTCCCCAGGGAGTCACGGTAGCCGCCAGCAGCAGCGGTGCAACAGTAGAATTTCTGAGGTTTACTATTCCGTGTCCTCACAAGAGTCGGAACAGTGGCTGGAGGAACTTCCTATACATCTTGTATCACTTCCGGTTTGCAGAGGGTTTGCGTCACAAGCATACCGGGGAGTTGGGTGTGGTAGCAGGTAGGCAGGAAGGCTGGCGCAGTCCCACATCTAAAGCCACAAGCAAGACGCTGAGCGAGCTCTATTTCATCTTATTTTTAAATTAAAATTTAAAAGTAAGCCATAACAGAGGAGAGCTTGCTTAGTTTTAAAATGAAAATTTCACCCATACTCATTGTTTGGACATTATAGTGGTGAATATACCAGAATTAGTGCTATTAAGAGTTAAAAAGCAAGTGAAATCCCATTAACAATGCTTTTCTTTCTTGAGAGATCAGTTAGGCAGTAGATCAGTTAAGTAGTAATTAATATGCTCTTGGAAAAGATGGTTATGAATAAAAACAAAGGAAATCCCACATACAACCACTCATATATAAAGTCTACATACATGATTTTATTCATAAACACTAATGGATATAAAAATTTTAACACATCTCTGTACAGATTGGTATACACTATTTGTGAACCTTTTTGCTTATATAGTTGATTTTGTGAGACAGTTGTTGGCAGTTGTATAGTCTCTTAACTTAACCGAGTCCCAACTACTGTATCTCCCCACACAGCCCGCAAAAGAGTCTTACTATTTAGCTCAGACTGAACTTGAATTTACAATCCTTCTGCAAAGAGGGGAAGGAGGCTAAAGACTTCCAAATGCTAGAATTATGGCCAGGTATGGCCAGTTGTGTTTGTTGTTTGTGTGTGTCTGAGTGTGTAGGCTATAGGTCGATGTCAGGTGTCCTAGTTTACATTGATTGTCAATTTGACACATCCTAGAATTCCCTGAAAACGGAGTCTTATGTAACTTTTTTTTTTTTTTTAATCAGGTTGTGGGCTATGTGTGTGAGAGTTTGTCACAATTGATGTAGGCAGGCATAGTCCCCTGCAAGTGGTACCATCTTTAATTGGTGTTGGGTTGTCAAGAAAATTAGCTAAACCTGGAATAATAATAATAATAATAATAATAATAATAATAATAATAATAATAA